GGAGAAAAAACATTAAGATAACAATAAACTCCGCAATTTTCTGGCAAACAATCAAAAAAATGAGAAAAGGGAAAATTAAACATGGATTTTTTTTAAGTTAATACTACATTTCAACTCTTAAGTAAATTTTAAACCTTAAATGGATGACTGGCTTTTTATTTTTGAAAAGCTGGTAACTGGGGGTAGGCTCAATAATGGAGCACTTACCAGAGCATGAGGCCCTGGGTTCAATCCCCAGCATCACAGAAATAATTTTWAAAAATTTAAGGCAGMACAGTGACGCATACCTGTAATCCCAGCAACTCAGGAGGCTGAGGMAGGARAATTGCAAGTTTGAGGCCAACCTCAGCAACTTAGGGAGTCCCTATCTCTAAATAAAATACAAAATAGGGCTGGGGATGTGGCTCAGTGATAAAGCATCTCTGGGTCCAATCCCCAGTAACCATCCAAAATTAAAGAGCTGGTAATTGAATGAGAAAATAAAAAGTTTGTTCAAAGAAATAACTTTTTACAAGTCCCAGTGATTTAGCAGGTGAGATATTTCAACCATTCAGAGAAAACAGCACAGAAAAAGAAAGTTACCCAATTCATTTACCATATTCAAAATGTAACCAGCTTGTTACTCTAAAGAGTACAGGCATAAAACTTTTTGGATTAAAACAACAAAATCCTCTTTTTTTCTCTTTTGTGTTCTGCAGATTGAACACTGAGTGTCTCACATGGTAATAAACACATATTGAACCACTGAGTTACACCCCAAACCAAACAAAAAAATCCATCTTACATCATGTAACACCCTACTTATGGGTAAAATCTAAAGATTTTCCCATTAAAATTAAGAATAAAGTAAGAATAGCTAAAATAAATATTTTCAATGAACCTCCTTGAAGTTCAAGTCAGTATAGTTAGACAAAAGCAGAAATAACTAGAAAAGGCATATATATAAATAGTAAGTTTGAGCACTCGGAAAATTCAAGATAATTAACTCAGTGATAATTACTACAACCAATATTTAGAGAGTGCTTACCATATCAAGTGCAGAATATAATGTACCACCACATTTGATCCTCACAGTGTTTACAAAAGGAAAGCAAGAGATTAGAAAACTGTCAGGCATGGTGGCGCACACCTATAATCCCAGCGGTTCCAGAGACTGAGGCTGGAGGATCGAAAGTTTAAAGTCAGCCTCAGCAACTTAGTGAATCCCTAAGAAACTCAGTGAGGCCCTGTCTCTAGATAAAAAATTTTAAAAGCTGGGAATGTAGCTCAGTGGTAGAGTGTTTGCTTAGCATGCACAAGCCTGKGGGCTCAAGTTATTGGGTTCAATCCTCAGCAAGACAGGAGAAAGAAAAAAATGAATTAAAATAAGAAGTGAGAAAGGTTTTAAAATGACAACTAGAATTACACCAGCAATTTGAACTCAGACAGTCTGACTCCAGATCCTGTAATGTTATCCACAGAGTAATACTTCCTCCACATTTCCTTTCACATCTAACTATCTAATTTGTATAAAGCCAACATAAAGGACAAGCATTGATCCAAGATCTGAACTCACCAGAACTGGCCCAAGCAGAGACTGCCAAAGCAAGGGTAGCAAAGACACAGGCTTCCTTCATGTTTCCATGGGCAGGGAATGTGTTTAGTTTTAGTAGTTACACCAGAGAGAAGAGCATTTGTCATATAAATAACTGCTGGAACCCCTCCCTTACTGGTGAGTGACTACTCAAGGTGATTTGTATATTAATCGAGATATATCATCTGTACTGTCAGGTGCCAAAGATATTTCAGGAAAAACTTGAGTTTAGCAGCACTGAAAGACATTTTCAAGAGATAAGCTGTATTATTTATCACCTGGAACATTTAGACATATGCATAATGACTTGGCATGAAAGAATAAAACATCAGAAGGAAAAGCAAACCTGTAAAGTATTTGAAATGTRCAGTCAGCAGACTGTAAACATGTAAGCTGGAATGCAAGTCACTTACAGCAATTCAATAACTTAGAAAGAAAAAGACATATRAATGACTAGCAGCCTCCTAATACAGCCTCTCCTAACTTCACTCTAAATAAATATAAGTAATGTGCTAAAAAAGCGGGGGGTGGTGGTGGCTGAGGATATAGTTCAGTGATACAGCACTTGTCTGGCATACGCACAGCCCTGGGCTCCATCCCCAGCAATGGATTAAAAAAAAAAAAAAATACAACTATCTCCTAGATTGAGACACAAATTTACTGTTAAATCTAGGAACCACGTTCAGCACCCCTAAGGTACAGAGTCAGCYGAAGAAACACAAGCCTGCCGCATGAGAGATTCCCAAGGAGAACAGCCCTGGCCAGCTTAAAAAAAGGAGAGAGGCACTCTTTAATTCTCTGGATTAGAGTCTGGGCTTATATCAACTTGAAAACTAGGAGTYGGCCATCTGTAAAACACAGATGTGGTTTTTCAAGAGAGACTCTATTTTTCCTCATTCTCATCTTTGCAATCCAAGTTCAAGCTTGAAGCTCCCAAATAAGAGAAGAAGAGACAGCAGGGAGAGTCCTGTGGTGGTGAGTCCTGGGAAGAACACACCTCAGMGCATAGCTGATCAAGATGGGGAGGGAAAGAGCTTTGGCAGCAGGGCATACTGGAAAGAGGAGTCCTGGAAGCAGGTAAAAAAATTCCATGTCTATGTACCCAACAGGTACCACATGAGAATACCACCAGATGGACCAGGATTCAAAGGCAAACTACACATCCCTGACATTTGACTACACTACCTCCTAGTAAGAGGATGAATTAATGGGGAGAAAATATAATCTGCTGCCTATAAAAAAATAATGTAGCACAAGTRTAATACAAGACTATGCTGAAAAGCAAAAGTTTGTCTCTAAAAATAATTTCCTATGAAATCCACAAGAACTCCTCCACATTAAAACTTCACAATATATTGATCTTGATTTTAAAAAATACACTACTCTGATAATGGGGAAGGCTGTGCATGTGTGAGGTATGGGGTACATGGGATTGTTCATGTTCCTTCCTCTCAATTTTGTTGTGAAACTAAAAATGCTCTAAAAAATAAAGTCTTAAAAAACACTATATGAAACAGGTACAGAAAGTCATACATAACTGGCTGAGATAGGAAGACAATATGAAATAATGAGAGGCAGTGCTAACTGCAGGAGAAAAGAMGAGCCATTATTCCCATCTTTTTGTGCTTTTCTTCTGTATTCTGGGAGTCAAGTCTGTCCTCTGTATTAGAGAGAACTCCAACAAGATTTTCTGGTTTGATTTCTATTCWATATTGCCCCTAATGTTTATTTTAATTTTGTTATTGTGTTTTTGCTTCTCAAGCTAATTACCTTTTTYTTAATATATGTATGCCTTTATTTTATTTATTTATATGTGGTGCTGAGTATTGAACCCAGGGCTTTACCTGTCCTAGGTGAGCACTCTACCACTGAGCCACAACCCCTACTTTCTTTTTAACCATATCATATTGTCTTCMTATCTCAGCCATTAATGAAGATACATGACCAATAAAGTAGTTCTTATTTTAAATATGAGACGAATTAAACAAACTCAGTTCATAAATGTCTTCCTTCAAAATATCCAATCTTAGGGTACAAGACAAAAATCAGGATTTGGGGCTTACCTAAACTTAAGACCATATTCTTAAAGACTTTACAGGCTTTTTAGGTAATTTCTGCCATTCTGTAAGAGGACTTTTAAGAAAAAGACTGACAAGCYTGTTTTGTGTTTTTTGTCTGTTTTGTTTTTATTTTGCTACCAGGGATTGAACCTGGGGGACTCTACCACTGAACTACATCCCCAACCCTTTTTAATTTTTATTTTAAGATAGGGTTTCACTAGGTTGCTTAGGTCCTAACTAAATTGCTGAGGCTGGCTTTGAGATTCTCCTGCCTCAGCCTCCTTAGCTACTGGGATTAGAGGTTTCCACTAAAACATCCAGCCAAAGACATAATTTTTAGAAGAGCTGTGACTGGGTGGTAGGATTCAGAGTTAACTAATTTCCTTTCTGTTATTTTCAAATTTTCTGTTATACAAAAGAAAAATTACGCTTTTTATTACCTAAGTAATTTTTTTCAATTTCCTGAAAAATCTGGGCAAAGAAAAGATAGTGACCAAAAAAATAAGCTTAAACTGGAAATAAGGTTTGGTGATAGCCTCTAGATTCACTAAATGTGCAGAGGATATTTGTTCCTAACTTTTCTATCAGCCTTCTAAAGAAATCTAGGATCACTTAGGAGATTCACAGTACCTATAATACAAAAATAAGGTAAGGACCCACAAGAAGCACAGCCATTCTTACTAGTAAACACAAGAGAAATTCTTCCTACGGGTATTAGTTAAAGAGAGTTCCTTCTGACTTCTTTCAGGAAGCAATAGGTATAGTTTCAGAACACAAGGACTAGAACCTAAACTCTAGACCAACTCAAGGAGCCTATAAATTCCTAGTTACACAGACAAAGTAAAACCAAAACCTTCTTGAAATAAATGCCTTCCACAAAGCAGTCACAGGGTACAAACTGTGAAAATGGTTTTAAAACAATTTTGATGTGACACATTTTTCCTCAAAATAAAATAACATATCACCTTAAAATGCCTAAGGAAAGCATGCTAAAGAAAATGAATAAAACTTAAATAGATGTTTTTTTAAAATTAAGAAATTTTAAAAGTCTAACACAGTGGCACAAGCCTGTAATCCCAGCAACTCAGAAGGCTGAGGCMGGAGGATCCAGTTTGAGGCCAGTCTCAGCAACTTAGTGAGACCCTTAAGAGCCTTACTCATAGACAGAAAAAAAACACGTTTTTTCTCCTTTTTTGCCAGAATTAACTAAACTCACATAACTTGTTTAGTTTAAATTACAAAATTATTTAGAAGCAGAAGACAGAAATGTCACTATTACAGGATAAATTCTATGTTTTGGAAAAAAAACATAAGTTACTATCTATATTTTCTCACAAAAAATATGGACTAGATCTTACGGATCTTACCAGGTGATTCCATCTGCTTGATAACTGCAACCTCTGGGTGTTCATCTAAGAAGAAATCTGGTAATAAAGGCTGGCCTGAAAAATTGACCCCAGAATAATCATGTTAATATAATTACAAGACATTAGGATTTTCACACCTGTTTAATAAACATTATCATTTTATTTTAAAATCATTCTGGAGAAACAGTAAAGGCTTCTGGGAGAATTATCAAACTACTTATTTTCATTAATGTTCCCATAACCTAGATATCTTCTCCCATGACTCAATTCATTTTCAAGATCTAGTTTTAAAAAACACCTTTATGTGAAGTCTTTACCCTCTTCATCCTTACAACTCCTTCTGTCCACAACTCAGCTCACCTGGCCCCTGAGAGCAGGGAGGCCCTCATTAAGGAGGACTTGCTTCCCAGATCAATGCACTTGGGTCTTTTCTCTCTTCCTCTTCTTCCCACTCTAACATCATGTAAACTAAGACACCTTCTTCTCCTAGGCCTTATTTTCGGTTAACAGTTGTGCTTACAAATAAATTAATTATCTTAACATCACACTGATACCTTTCATGGCACATGCATGAGGAGATTCAAAGGTCACAAAACCTTCAAAACTGTAGGAAAATTAGATGTTAATTCTCTCTCTCTCTCTCTCCCCTAACCCCTCTCTCTCTCTGTTTTTCTCCCTCCCTTCTCTGTCTTTGAAAATTAAACAAACTTCTGGAAAGCAAGAATTAATTGATATTTGTTATACCTTAATATCAGAATAACTGGTCATAGTAATAAGTTCTCAGTACTTGATAAGATTTTTAATTTAAACCTAACTTAAAAGTTTGTATAAAATTACATTGGGTCTTTAAAACCTGAYGTGATCATCATGCTGTACCAAGACCCAGAAGACAGGAGTCTGGTTCAGGTTCTGCCACCTATTAGCCATCAGCCCTTAGACAAAGGCTTCATCTCCCTCAGCCTGTTTTTTACACTGGACTATTTTAACTACTAAATATTGTGAGTGTACTATATGCCAGGTACTGTGCCAAACACATTATATACATTATTGMACATAATTCTACAAAAAGCCTGTATGGAAGGTATCATTTGCTTCATTTTCCCAAAAAAGAAACTGGGGCACAAAGAAAGTGGGTAATATGCTCAAAGCTACACAGTAGCAAGGAGAGGCAAATTTGAGCCCAAGTTGTCTTTCCCCAAATTCCACATTCTTAATCATTACACACTATTACTTCTCTCGCAGGATTGCTATGAAAGTTAATTAGATAATGTATGTGAAAGTGAACTAAAGAGACAGGTAGGGATGACACAAATCTAAAAATGTGGTTTCTGTCAGCTACAAGCTCAATTTAATGATTTATATGCTTTAATACAAATAAATATAACCCATATTTATGGCTTGCATTCATTCATTCATTCACTCATTTAYRCATGTGTGTGAGACAGTGTCTCACTATATTGTCCAGGAGGGTCCCCAAGTGCTAGGCTCAAATGATTGTCCAGCCTCAGCCTCCCAAGCAGCTGAGACCACAGTCATGTGCCATTGCACCTGGCTTAGAATACACTTATTATATAAAGTAAAAATCCATTATCATCTTCTTCTGCAATTTAAGAGAAAGTTATTTTTTAATAAGGGAGCCTTCTGCAAACTTCTCAAATCAGACTGCTGTACCTAAGACAGTATGATTTCATCAATGCACCTTCACAATCCATCATTAAGGTATTAGACACTGCACTTAAAAAAATAAACACTTGGGTTGGAAGCGGTGACACACCACGTAATCCCTGTGGCTCAGGAGGCTGAGGCAAGAGGATCTCGAGTTTAAAACCAGCCTCAGCAAAAGTGAAGCACTAAGCAAATCAGTGAGACCTTGTCTCTAAAATAAAATACAAAATAGGGCTGGCTTAGTGGTTGAGTCCCCTGAGTTCAATCCTGGGTAACCCTCTCCCAAAAATAAACATTCAGAATGAGTCCACAGTCTTAAGTTTGTAAAAAAAAAAAAAATAAAAAAAAATAAAACAAAACTACTGTACCATCTGATACATATCCTTGAATAAAATCCTTACTCTGATTTTAACACTGACTTTAAAAACTAATTTTCATTTCTGGTTTCAAAATCTGAAAATGGCCAGTAGCTGATTAAACCCTTCTGCGTCACTTCAAAAGCCCTCAACTCACTTCTATTTGTCCTTTCTCTCTTTTTTCAAATATTGTTAGTTTGGATTTTCCACTTCATTGGAAGGACAGCTTTTAAAAGAACATATTCATTTTATGATCACACACACAAACACACACACACACACACACACACACACACACACGATGTAGTCATTGCAGAAAATATGGAAAAACACATCACTATGTTAAAAAACTACAAGTATTACCTGGTTTAACTGCATAGATGTCAAAATTTTTTATTCCTTCCTCTTTTAAGATATTTTCATCAATAACAAAATTTCCAGTAAAACTTTTTGGCTTTTTGAAAATGGAATATGCAGCATCTGCGATGATATCAACTTTTCTACATTGGCTTTCAACACCAGATCCTCCCAGCATATCCATGGCAGCTGTGTGTATGGCTGTAGAAAAAATAGACACATGTACATGTACATAACTCCAAATCAAACAAAAGGACTGTGGAAGTAACAAGCAAGCACCATCCTTCAAAATTACCAAGACTAATCTCTTTATTCCTTAGATGATAAAAACAAGGTCCAAAAAGGTAAATGTTCTAGAGAAAGAACAGGGTAGAAAACACATATTCTTTATCYTATACAATGCTTCCCTACAAGGACTCCCTTAGGAGAATCACAGATAAAGAGATTTCTGATTTAGGATGTTCAAAAATTCATCTGGCGCCAGGCACAATGGCACATGCCTGTAATCCCAGAGGCTCWAGAAGCTGAGGCAGAAAGATCCTGAGTTCAAAGCCAGGCTCAACAATTTAGCAAGGCCCTAAGCAATTCAGTGAGATTCTGTCTTTAAATAAATATAAAAAACGGCTAGGGATGTGGCTCAGTGGTTAAATGCCCCTGGGTTCAATCCCCAATACAAAAAAAAAAAAAAAAAAGGATTCACCTGGCATTCCCAAGAGTCAAGAAAGCCTATACGGTATAACAGAAAATGCACTTAGCACAAGGCACATGAGGGGAATTTTAAATGAACATCTTTGGTCCTCAGTTTTCCATCTCTAAAATATGGAGCACCCTTTCCTAAGTTTACTGCCTCTCTTCCCCCTGATTTGAAAATGGAGACTTTGTTTCTCTTGTTCATCACTGGATCCCCAATGTCTGAAACAATGATGAAAGCCCACAAGCATGCAATATATACTGACAGGATTTTGGAGGGTTATTTTTAAATTCATATAATACTAGTTTATAGAAAAATTTAGAAAAGAAAATAAAAAGAAGCAAAGGAAGAATCTGTATATGTCAGGTTGAGTACTGGTGACTAAACCCAGAACTTCTACACTACCAGTCCAAAGAATTTTTAAATATAATCTGCAATTTTGGGGCTGGGGATGTGGCTCAAGTGGTAGTGTGCT